AGATAATGAGGTGTGGTATTGAGGCAGGCAGGATTTATATGGCGGTTAAATGTAGTTTGGTATCAAAAATATGATTGTATTATTCACTGTGGCATAGCAAAGATCACGTCTGCCCCCTTGCTTTTGGCTGAATCAGCAGATGTAGACCACGATTAAAGAAACACTGTCAAATATTTCTTTATAGTTTAATTTTCCTCTTACTCTCCATTGCTTGCAATGCCCTTGCCTCTGGGAAGAGTGGCAAAGTAAACATGGCTTTTCTTACCAGTTTTGTCCTTCTTGCTTTTATAGAGTGATTTAAGAATTCAGATTGGCCCTGGATTATCATCTTTGGTGTGTTGCACATGAGAATGGGTTAGCTAAATAGGGACTGAGAATCTCCATTTGAAACAAACCAAAGGCCTTTGGACAACTGAGACAGTGCTTGGATGGGGAGATCACCACTCTCCTGAAGCAGCCCATTTTATTTCCAGAATGCCTTCATTGTTAGACGCCAACACTTTCAAAGAATCAGAGAAGTTCCATGATGGGTTGGGTCAAATGTGGAGATTATGAGCTTTCAGTCCCAGGATGTGGTTAAACATAAACTGAATGTTCCCTTTTCAAGGAAGCTATCAAAGGGATTCCTGCTGAAGACTAGGCTGTCCTGGGTTTAAATATTAATTCTGCCACTTCTAAACTCTATAAATCTTAGTTTCTCATATGTAAAATGGGGCTAGGGGGCATTATGACCCTAATAATTACCCTATTGTGTTGTTCTGGGGGATAAAGTGAGACAGTCTGTATTAAATGCCTAGCAATAAATGTAGTTCTCTATTTACTACTTTTTTTTTTTTTTTTTTTAAACAAGGTCTCCATTCTATTGCCCAGGCTGGAGTGCAGTGGTGCAGTCATGGCTCACTGCAACTCGACCTTCCAGGCTCAAGCAATTCTCCCACCTCAGCCTCCTGAGTAGCTGGGACTACAGGTGCACACCACCACATCTGGCTAATTTTTGTATCTTTTGTAGAGATGGTTTCACCATGTTGCCCAGGCTGGTCTAGAACTCCTGAGCTCAAGCAATCTGTCCACCTCGGCTTCCCAAAGTGCTGGTATTACAGGTGCATGCCACTGCACCTGGCCTCTACTTATTTCTTTACAGGCATAGATATTTGCTCTTTGAGTAAATTTCTTTATCAATGGAAAGATTTATAATGGAAAAAGTTCAGGAACTGTGGGAAATGGATGGAAGACTCATTCTGGGAATGCTAATATGAGCATGTATGTATGACGTCAAGACTCTATCGAAGAATGATCTTTCTCAGTATTCTAGGTCAATGTAGAGTTATTTGATGCTCAGGAGAGCATCAGTGGTCCAGAGCGTCGAAGTTTTTGTTGAAGGATGGGAGTATTTATATTAGCAGTGATACCGTGGACTTGGGTTAGTTTGGATGGTGAGGGTGGGATGGGGCACAGAGTGGTGAGAGGCAAGGGTCCATGTGTTGAAGAAATTAGTAGAATTTGATTCCTATAGTTCTTTATAATCTATACTTGGAATAATTAGAAAGAAGGAAAATAAACAGTTGGAGAAAGAAAAATAGATATAAAAATGTGAAAAGTCAGAGTTTCTGTTGCTATAGCTAGGATACCTTGGGCAAGAAAGGGGAATGACAAGTTAAGTTAAACCTAGGGCTTGAAATCAAACTATTTGAAGGAGGGATCTGGGTCTTAGGTAAGAGGGACTGATATTTTATAGTTCAATCAATGTAAGCATTAATAATAACAGCAGGGACAGAGTATACCGATCTATTCTTATAGAAGGTTTCCCTGGGATTAATAAGGGAAAGAAGGAAGAGCAAGGGGAGAAGGAGGTAAGAGTAGGAAAAATTTGCATTTTCTGTTCCATACATGACATTTGCACTTGATACATATTTATAAATTTAATTGAAAAAATTTATTAGGTGGGCATTACTATCCCACTTACAGATAAGGACATTAAAGTTTAGAAGTAGGATATTGTTTAATGTCACAAAGGTAGTAGGTGGAAAAAATTGGCTTTGAAATTTGGTTTGCATAACCCCAGACCCTGTGTGCTTTCTATGGTCCCATGCTGCACCTGAGTTATATAAATCCCTAGATTAGCTAAGAAGGCGGGACTAACAGTTTGTGGATTTGTGGGTGGTCCCCTGAATGAAGAAAAACATCACTTTTTTTGCACCCTAGGTGACAAAGTTGCAGATGAGGGAGAGAGAGTGAAATCTACCCCCTTTTTGAGATGACTTTTTCTCCAAGATCTGAACTCCTCAAAGAGTGGTCCCTGGACCCTGTCAGTTTATAAGCTGTTACTGGTCTGTGATGAGAAAAAGACTTTGAGCCAAACTAAAAATCAACTTTATAATTAAGCACACTGCTTGATTCTACTTATATACTTTTTGCAGCAACACTTTTTGGATGAAAAAAGCAACGCATGGATTTACATTGTGATGTAATCGCCTCATAACATCTTGGAAAAATACAAGCCTTTGACAGATTGGCTACTTAGCATAGCACTATCCTAGAACCGTCCCCTCACCAGGTCATGGCGAGCATTTTAACTGATAGTCCCTCAGGGGCTCTGTACCTCTCTCTCTGTTTAACAACTTTACCTGAGAAGAGTACAGATCACGTATGAGTTGAGCCAGCAGCTGAGGGACTTCCAGAGAAACACAATTCAAGAATCTGGGAAATGGGAGATTTCAAAGGACACAGGCCTGTGTTATCCTTCTGAGGTCTTTACTTAGCCTCTTAGGTGAGCTGCTATTATGAACAAATTTGACATGCTATAACCTGGCCTATGATATTCCTACAATATCTTTCATTATTTTAGGAACAGGAGGAATCCAGGATTTAGAAGAAAGCTATTTTTTCCCCAAGGAATTTATTATGAGCTGATTAAAATTGAGAGCTGGTGGTGATCCTTCAAAATTTAAAAAGAAAGTGTTTTCCTTAAGAAAATGAAAGCATCTCAAGACTTTGATGTATTTTTGGTCAGTATAGACACTTAGACGACCATATGAAAGGCAAAGGTATCTTATTTTCAGGGAATACAAAGGTGGAATGAAAGCAAATATGTATCAGAGAGGTTCAGAGTTCAAAAAGATTTTGTATACAGAATTAAGAAACTGACTTCATCAAGATGACTTTATTGGAGGAAAATAGGTAAAGTCATTAACTGATATCATCAAAACATATTTGTATCTTACAGGATTGGTTTACAATAGATCATGCCTCCACTGCTCTTCCCCCTTGTGCTCTAGCAAATTCCTGCTTGTGCTTCAAGATTTATCTTGAAGTTCACCTTTCCTGTGATGTCTTCTACTTTCCCAGGGAAAACATCTATCATTGGTATTCCTGCATTGCAACACCCTCCACAGGCAAACTTTATGTTGACTATTTTTTTTCATCTACTAATTATTGCACTCCATGATCCAGGGGTAGTGACCTATTTACCTTTGCACTTCTTGCCCTTAGCACAGTGCTTGACCCGGAAGGTACACAGTGAATCGGCTCTACTGCTCTGTAGGTTAAAAGCATGAACTGGAATACTGAAATGATGCCTGGGTTTGCATCCTGGATCTGCCACTTATTATGTAACTGTGAGTGGGTTGGTCATTTATGCCACAGTTTCTTTACCTCTTCCAGAGGGTAATAATTGTACGTATAGTGTTTGAAGACACAATGTGATAAATAATACATATAAAACACCTAGGACATACCTGGAAAACAATCAGAGCTTTAGAAAGGTTGGTGATCATGTTGTTGTTGATAATGAGACCCTAGAGGGCAGAATTAGGATCAGTGGTTAGTACTATCATGGAGTATATTTCAGCAACAGGGTAAGAAATAACTTTCTAACAAGGGGCAGGAATATCTGAAGGCTGAGTAGGCTGCCTTAAAAAGTAGTGGGCTACAGTTTTAAAATCAGTGTGGTGACTGGGCGTGGTGGCTCACGCCTGTAATCCCAGCACTTTGGGAGGCTGAGGCAGGTGGATCATGAGGTCAAGAGATTGAGACCATCCTGGCCAACATGGTGAGACCCCATCTGTACTAAAAATAAAAAAATTAGCTGGATGTGGTGGCGCATGCCTGTAGTCTCAGCTACTCGGGAGGCTGAGACAGAAGAATCACTTGAACCCAGGAGGCGGAGGTTGCAGTGAGCCAAGATCGTGCCACTGCACTCCAGCCTGGTGACAGAGGGAGACTCCATCAATCAATCAATAAATTAATTAGTTAATAAAATCAGTGTGGTATTACCATAGGGATAGACATATAGATCAATGGTACAGAATTAAGAGTTTAGGAATAAGCCCATTCGCATATGGTCAATTGATTGTTAGCAAGGGTGCCATGAATACTTAATAGGAAAATAACAGCCCTTTCAACAAATGGTGCTGAGACAACTGCGTATCCACGTGAAAAAAAGCGAAATTAAATTCCTACCTAGCACTATATACAAAAATTAAGTCAAAATGGATCTAAGACTTAAATGTAGGAGCTGAAACGATACAACACTTAGAAGAAAACATGGAGTAATCCACCTGACCTTGGCTTTGGCACTGATTTCTTAGACATGACACCAAAAGTATAAGCCATACAAAAAAAATAGATAAATCTGACTTCATCAAAATTAAAAACTTCATTGAATCAAAGGATAGTGTCAAGAGAGTGAGAAGACGGAATGGAGGAAAGTATTTCCAAATAGTATACCTGTTTAATGTCAAATATCAGCCAGGCATGGTGGCTCCATGCCTGTAATCCCAGCACTTTGGGAGGCTGAGGTGGGCGGATCACAAGGTCAGGAGATCGAGACCGTCCTGGCTAACACAGTGAAACCCCGTCTCTACTAAAAAAAAATACGAAAAAGTAACCAGATGTGGTGGTGGGTGGCTGTAGTCCCAGCTACTCAGGAGGCTGAGGCAGGAGAATGGTGTGAACCCGGGAGGCGGAACTTGCAGTGAGCTAAGATCGTGCCACTGCACTCCAGCCTGGGTGACACAGAGAGACTCCGTCTCAAAAAAGAAAAAAAAAGGACAAATATCCATAATATATAAAGAATTATAGCTCAACAATGAAAGCAAATGGCCCAGTTAAGAAAATGGGGAAAAGGCTTGAATATACATTTCTCCAAAGGAGATATATCAATGGCCATGAGCACATGAAAAGATGCTTGATGTCATTAGTCATTAGGGAAATGCAAATCAAAACCACAATGAGATACTCCTTCACATGCACTGGGATGGCTCTAATTAACAAAACAAAACAAAACGGAAAATATCAAGTGTTGGTGAGGAGGTAGAGAAATTGGAACCTTCATGCATTGCTGGTGGGAATGTAAAATGGTATAGCTATGGTGGAAAACAGTTTGGTGGTTCCTCAGTAAGTTAACCATAGAATTCCCATATAAACCAATAATCCTGCTCCTAGTTATATACCTAAAATTATTGAAAACAAGTGTTTAAAAATGTGGTATATCCATAAACTGGACTATTATTTGGCCTTAGAAGGAATGAAGTACTGATACAGGCTACAACATGGGTGAACCTTGAAAGCATTATATTGAGTGAAAGAAGTCAGATAAGAAGGCCACATATTGTATGATTCCATTTATATGAGCCATCCAGAATAAGCAAATCATAAAGACAGAAGGCAAATTATTGGCTGAGGGAATGGAGAATGGGAAGTGGCAGCTCAATGGGTATGGGGTTTCCTTTTGGGATGATGATAATTTTCTGCAACTGAATAGTGGTAATGGTTGTACAAACTTACAAATATACTAAATGCCACTGAATTGTTTGTTTTAAAATGGTTACCTTTGAACCTTTGTACATAGTTGGTGGGAATGTAAATTACTATAAGCACTATAGAGAACAGTTTGGAGGTTCCTCTACTAACTAAAAATAGAGCTACCATATGACCCAGCAATCTCACTGCTAGGAATACACCCAAAAGAAAGGAAATCAATATGTTGAAGAGATATCTTCACTCCCGTGTTTATTACAGCTCTATTCATAATAGCCAAGATTTGGAAGCAACCTAAGTGTACATCAGCAGACAAATGCATAAAGACAAGGTGGTACATATACAAAATGGAGTACTATTCAGCTGTAAAAAAGAATGAGATCCTGTCATTTACAACAACATACATGGAACTGGAAGTGGTTATGGTAAGTGAAATAAGCTGGGCACAGAAAGACAAACATTGCATATTCTCACTTATTTGTGGGAGCTAAAAATTAAAATAATTGAGCTCATGGAGATAGAGAACAGAAAGACTGTTACCAGAGGCTGGGAAAGGTAGTGGGATGGTGGGGAGTGGCAAATGGGGATGGTTAGTGGGTACAAAAAAACAGAAAGCATGAATAAGACCTAGTATTTGCTAGCACAACACAGTGACTATAGTCAAACATAATTTAATTTTACATTTTGAAATGATTCAAAATATAATTGGATTGCTTGAAACACAAAGGATAAATGCTTGAGGTGACGGACACCCCATTTACCCTGATGTGATTATTATGTATTGCATGCCTGTTATCAAAACAACTCATGGAAACCATAAATATATACACCTACTGTGTACCCACACACACAAATAAATTGGTTATCTTTATGTGTATTTTACTGTAATAAAAAGGAATAGTGAGCTTCTTTTTGTAGCAGTTATTCAAACTGAAACTGAAAAGCAACCCATTGGAGGTGCTGTTCAGGGCACTTGCACAGGGTACTGAAGCTTGGACAAAATGACTTCAAAGGAAGTCAGTGACTGTGAGTGAGCAAGGCCTCTGCCTATGGTGTCAGGCAGACTGGGAGCCAGGGTCCTGCATCCTGGCTCTGTGACCCTGGGCGGGACTTAACCCTCTCTGAGCCTCCGCTGTAATGCAAGGACAATAATTACAGGGTTGTTGGAAGATTTATGGTGGGAGCACAATGCCTGACACATGGTAAGTGCTCCACAAAGGCCAATCCCTCTTAAGGTTTTGAGATTCTGTAATTCCTTAAAAGAACCTTCCTCGTAATCAAAACTACATTTTCAAAATAATTAAGAAGTGTTTGGGCGCTGTGAGAGGCTCCCAGAAATCAGGGAAAATCCTTTTGTTCCCATCTTGTTCCTAAGGAAACCCACTGCCACGAGATCTGTTTTCCAGGCTTTGAATGCTTTTTTTCCTCATCTCTGAGTTTTCTTCTCTTTTCTCCAGCCTCTGCCTCTGAATGTGAAGGAAAACTGGACCAGCTCAGTGTCAAGCCTGTGAGTAGAACACCCTCTTAGTTCTTTCACAGTTGGTTTCTGGAAAACATCTCTATGTCCAGATTACTTTGTGGGTTTCAGCCCTCCCTGTGTTTTGGCTTCATGGTTTCTGTAATACTTCAATTCATTATGATGTGACTGTAAATGGTCAGTCACCTTCACTTTCTCTCGCTAATTACACCCACAAGGATTTCCACAGGCCTGTGGCATTTTCAAAGAGCTCACACTCATGGATTTGCCAGAAATCCACAACAGAAATTTTAAATACAGGCATTCTTTGACTTCTGAATGCCTAATTTACAAAGGTCAAATATCTATGGAAGCTTGGCCCTTGCTAGGGCAGGGAGCTGGGGAAGGCTCCTCCTTCTGTGGGTCCTGGAAAGGGAGAAAGAGTTTCGACTGCCATCTGTCTTTCCTTCTTCCTGTGGGGTCAATGGCTGAGGAATTAGTGAAGGGGATTGGGAGGCAGGGGAAGAGATGTGTTTTTGAGAACCCTACATCTTCACAGGCATTGCATGATGGCCATACATGATAGAACCTGGAGTCTGGGTATCAGAACTGGATCAGAAATCTGGCTCTATCTTTAAACATTTATCTTTTATGACTGTGTTTCCCTGGAAAATTATGTAACTTCTCTAGGCTTCAGTTTTTTATCTATGACATGGAAGATAAATATATTTATCTTGAGGGATAAGGCAAAGATTAAATGAGATAAAATATTTATGAGAGTACCAATAATAATGGACTTTTCTTTTCTTTTTTTTTTTTTAAAGACAGTGCTTGCTTTGTCATCCGGGCTAATAGCATGATCTTGGCTTACTACAACCCTTGCCTTTTAGGTTCAAGTGATTCTCGTGCCTTGGCTTCCCGAGTAGCTAGGACTATGGACTACCACCATGCCCAGCTAATTTTTGTATTTTTAGTAGAGATGGGGTTTCACCATGTTGTCCAGGCTGGTCTTGAACTCTTGGCCTCAAGTAATTTGCCCACCACGGCCTCTCAAAGTGCTGGGATTAAAGGTGTGAGGCATTGTGCCCAGACAATAGCATTTTTATTGAGTACTCACTATGTGCCTGGAATTATTCTCTGTGTTTTAAAGTAATAACTTACAACAACACTAAGTGCCCTACTTTAATCCCTGTTGTATGGATGTGGGAGCTGAGGCCCACATAAGGGAAGGGCCTTGTCTCATGTTCAGAGCTGGGAAGTGTTTAGTGACAGGAGTCAAACCTAGGTAATCCAGTCCTAGTGCTCATACTGTACTAAGCTATACTGCCTTTTCTTTTCTTCATACAAAAGCTAAATTCTCACTATTGCATGACTTTCAAAATAGTTGTTGGCAGGAGAGAGAGAGGGAGTTGAGATGTAATTCTGATGTTGCTGAGATTTCTAGATATTGCCTCAACGCTGATCTATATCAACACCATGACTGGCTTGGGTTTTGTGGGCCTTAACTGGGGATCCAACTTTTGTTCATAAAATTCTTTTTATGGAAAAATGCTTTTGACATTCTAGAGAACAGATTCACATGGGATACTTTTCACTAGTATTTACAGTAGTACTAGTGGTATAGTAATAATTGTCCTTACTCTTAGTGACGGACAATATACTTAACATCTTTTTTTTTTTTTTTTTTCCTTTGCTTTCTTAAAATGTTTAGTATGAGAGGCAGGGGGAATTGGAAAACTGGTTTTGGTTTTCTTTTCTAAAAGCAGAAAACAATGTAATTAGTGGGAAATTTACTCATAATCTTGATCTTTAAAATCTTCCGCCCTTTCCTTCCATTAAGATTGCCTTTTTTTTTTTTTTTTTTTTTTTTAGAAGGAAGAAAAAAGGCATAAAAAACCAGGCTACTAAATTCTCTTTAATGACTAAAGCTAATAAGAAATGGCTCTGGTATTTCATCCAGCCTTTCAAATAATGGCTCTGTTGTTTTGATCTCAGAAGTGTAAGGGAAGCTTTATATTCAGGGATGGGCGTCCCTGTCTCAGGCACCTGAGAGACTGCATTATATATTTGAAAACCATTTTACAATGTCCCTTCCCAGAGTGTGAGGCCATTGATGCTTTGATGTGGTTAAGTAATTTAGTAGAATCATGTAATAGATTAAATTAGATTTCGGCTTCCTTGAAAGTTTTGAAGAGTACACATGAAATGAGTGTATCCTCAGTCTTGGAGCACTGGCAGCACTTTCCATTTTTTATTTTTTATTTTTCTACAGGCTTCCTTCCCTAATCTTGAATAGAAGCAGAGGAGAAATTGCTGAATTTCATTCTGTAGTATCGCTGCTTGTGTGGGAGAAAAAAAATGCACGTAGGGAAGAAAAGAGGGAGAGATTTTCTAAGACAGAGTGGAAGAAGCTGTTTCATTTTCCATAAAATAAGTGTTATGTGGTGGTGGGAGGGAACGGGGCAAGAACAAAGACTTCAGAAGGATTTGTAGAGGCAGACATGAGTTTTAGTCTTGAGTGTCCAGTTTTTTTTGTTGTGTTATTTCATTTCCCTGAGCCTGTTCCCAATTCTGTAAAATTGAAATCATAATATTAAAGTTGAAAATGAGATGATGTAGATAAAATGGTGGTCATAATGCCAGTCAGAGTCAACACTTAATACATGGTTGTTTGCTTTCCTCTGATTTCAATTTAGTCAGTTATATATTGAATATTTATTGATATATCATATCAATATATATTGAATATTTATTTTGAAACATACACTTGAGTATATGTACAATGCATTGACTTAGACACATCAAACTATGCACCTGATATTTTCAGGGAATTAGAGTAGTCCAAACTTAAAATATTCCCAAATGAATTCGTGGTCCCCACTTTTGCTAGTATTGCTTAGCTCAGCAAATGGTACTATCTTCACCTGACTGCTTCGCCTTCTTTTCCTAAGAAAACCAGGAATCATCCATGAATCACTCCCTGTTCCTCACCCCTTATAACCAATTCATCACCATATACTGTCTGTTTCTTCCAAATTATTCTCAGATCCATTAATTTCAGAGCAGTGTCTCCAATTTCACTCTTAGTAGCTACATCCAAGCAATCTTTATCTCTTTCCTGAGTCATAGCAATAGCCTTATACCTCTTCTTCCTGCATATATTCTCATCTTTCTCCACTTATTCTTTAAAGAGACAGCTTTCATAAATGTAAATCTTATCATATTACTCCTCTGCTCAAAAGCTTTTACTAATTTTTTTTATTGCTTTAATGAAAAAGACAAAATTTGTTTTGTTCACCACTGTGTACTAGGCAGCTAACATCAATGCATTGCATATATATTAATTCAATAAATATTTGTTAAATAAGCGATCCTTTTTTTCAGCATCCATCTGGCTGCTTTTAATGGCAAAACCCACAATTACCTTTGCACCAACCTAACAGATTCATCTCATGCACTGCTACTCGATATGCTATGGTTTTCACATATGCAAACCTGCAAGGACGATAGTATAATTTTTGCTTTAAATCTTCACATATAAAACAGTTAAGAGGAAAAACAATCTTTGATATTTACCCAGGCATTTAGTACTTCCAACGACCTGCATTCCTTCCTGAAGATCTGAGTTTTCATGTTATTGATAGCCCTCAGTCTAAAGAACTTTTTGAGAATTTCTTTTAAAATGACAAATTATTTTAGTTTTCTATCTAAAAATGTCTTTATTCTGCCTTCATTCTTGAAGGATATTCTTGCTGGATTAGGATTCTGGGTTGGTATTTATTTTTTTCAGCACTCTAAAGATGCTGATACACTCTCTACTGGCTTCCATTATTTCAGGTGAGAAGTTAGCAAACATCTGAATCAGTTTCGCTTACATGCTATGTGTCCTTTTTCTCTGGCTGCTTTCAAGATTGTCTTGCTTTTGATTATTAGTAGTTTAACTATGATATGCTTAGGTAATATTTTCTTCATATTTATTCTGCTTTGAGTTGATTGAGCTCTTGAATCTGTAAATTTATGTCTTTCAGGAAATCTGGAGAAGTTTCAGTCATTATTTTCTCACATCTTTTTCTGTGTTGGTTGTCTTCTCTTGCAACTCTAATTACATGTATGTTAGATAGTTTGATATTTTTCTATAGGTTTTTAGGATTTGTTTACTTTTCTTTTTTATCTTTCTTCTTCAGATTGGATATTTTCTGTTTTTCTTCAAGTTGGCTGACTCTACTGTGTTCTCCACTCTGCTATTAAGTCCATACCATAAATTTTTAAATTTCAGATATTGTGTTTTCAGTTCTATGATTTCCTTTTTTTGACAGTTTCTATTAATTTTCTGATATTTTCTATTTTTATTTATTATGAGCATATTTTTCCTTATATGATTGGGCACAAATTATGATAGCTTTTAAAAATAATTGCTTTCTATTTCCAGCTTCTGGGTTATCTTGGGGGTTGGTCTCTGTTGATTATGTTGTATCTTGAGAACAGATCACATTTTCCTGTTTCTTTGTATGTAGAATAATTTTGGAATATATCTTGGACATTCTCACTATCATATTGTGCAGACTCTATACTGTATATTCTTCTTAAGAGTGTTAGATTTTCATTCTGAGAGAATGTTGAGTTAATTGGGTTCAAAGTGAAAAATTTGTCCCTTTGGAATCTATGCAAATTTTAGTTCAGTTCTATTATTCTTATTTTAGCTGTTAATAACTTGCCACATGTGTGCATGATTCAGAAGTCAGCCAGAGACTTGGATGGAGTTTACACACAGAATTTGGAGCTTCCCATACTTGTTCTCTCCTTTTTGAGACCTTCCCCCACTGACTTTACAGCAGTTATGGTTACAGTGAACTCTGTTCTCTAATTTTTCAGGACAGAAAGATGCTAGGTTTTCTTTTGGGATTTCTATCGGAGTTTTAGCTATGTAGTGGTGCCCATTATGGCCTGCCCTCAGGGTTGATCTATTTTAAAAGTGATACTTATTCTGCTGTTTCCTTCTCTGCAGAACATTTTTCTTTTGTTCAGTCTCTGGTAACATGAGGTAGTTGTTT